CTGTATTTTATCTCCTGTACCTTGGCTTCCCAGCATCTGTATTTTATCTCCTGTACCTTGGCTTCCCAGCACCTGGGCAGTCTCTGTGACTCCCTGCAGCCTAAACAGTTAGAAACATGGGGTGTTTCAGGCACTCCATGACTTGCAGCCTGGCCTGTGGACCCTGAGCAGGCTCTGGCTGTTTGCCATACCTGTTTGAAGATCTGCCCAGAGGACAAAAGGGTGCTTGTAGGGCATAGACTCTGCCCTGATGCCTGTAAGCTTGAGCTCTGCTGTTGACAGTGAGCTAATTGTTGCAATTAGTCCCTGAGCCTGTGCTGTGCTTCTGCACTCGCTTCTGGAAAAAACAAATACTAGCAGCTGGTGCTGCAAAAAGAGCATGCTATCTACAGGCCAAGAAGGTCAAATATTCTCTTCCCTTTCTAGCCACCAGGCCATAACTATTAGAGAAACATCCAGCTACATTTCTCCTAGCCACATGGACAGACATACCTTCTATGGTATCTACCATAATTAAACCCACAAGTCTGACTTCTTCCCCTGCTACTGGAGTCATTTGTATACCACCTACATCAGGTTTTCTGCTTGCTTGTGTTGAGAACCAAGCAAACAGAAACCAGCAGCATAATACATGCCCACAGACTGGAGAGCATCCCTTTTCAAAGAGGGGTGGGAGGAGGGAAAGCAAACCCCTGGCTGAGGCAGCACAAGGGCTACATTTATGTACAGCTGGCCATGTTCAGCTGTCCCATGCTGGGCACCCATTGTTTTCCCAAAGCTATTAAAACAGTGAGTAAGGGAAATGTGCTTTCTCTGACTGCTTGAGGGGAATACTGGCCATTTTTCTGCCAGAGTAGGATTGTGGGTCCATTGTCAAAGCAGCTTTTAAGCCAGTTGTAGCTTCATGTGCTCAGTACATGAAATAACCCAGAACCCTCAGCACAAGAGGTTTGAAACAAAGGCCCATATTCATCTGGGGATTGTGCTGCTCCATACTATGAGATTCCTGGACTGAAAGCTGCCATTGCAGGAAGCTCAAAAGGGAAGGCCAGAGGAGACACTGTTCCATGCTGGCAGAGAACTTCAGCTGTAAACTGAAACTCTCCTTTCTCTAACCTTCTCTACCAGCAGCAGAAGTGTCACTGTATAAATCCATGTTTTCTTCCAGTCCAGCAGCGTTTGAACTGGAAGAGGGACAACTTCAGTTATGACAGAATGCTGGAACTACACCCATAAGCACATATGAAGTCTGGTTTCTATCCTGTTGGACATAAACAAATGTCCTGGGCAGTTCTGACCATCTTTGTGGGTTTGTTACAGCTATGACTTGGGCATTGAGCATCGTGATGCTACAAATGATAAAGTAACCATGGAAGCTGCTGAAGCCATAAAGAAATACAATGTGGGCATCAAGTGTGCAACCATCACTCCTGATGAGAAGAGAGTGGAGGAGTTCAAGTTGAAGCAGATGTGGAAGTCTCCCAATGGGACAATCAGAAACATCCTGGGAGGCACAGTTTTCAGGGAGGCCATTATCTGCAAGAACATTCCCCGGCTGGTGTCTGGGTGGGTGAAACCCATTGTCATTGGCCGTCACGCCTATGGGGATCAAGTGAGTCACTTCAGTGCTTACCTCTCTTTTTATCTTACCAGCCTTAGTCCTGACTCCTATAGAGCTACAGACTTAGACATCCCTGTGCTCCTGCTCTGTCCCTTGCACTCCACCTGGGAGCAGGTACTTGCTAGCACTTTGTTAGTACTGCACCTGGCAAAGTGTGGGAGAGCCTGGTTCGTGCCTCTCTTCCTTAGATAGTGTCACTGTATAAACAGCATTCAGAGGCCTGGATTGGATTGGATAGATCTGTACTTAGACACAGGGTATAAGTCCTCTGAATTATTGTTCACCTGTGCAGAACCCTATTCCCTACACAACAACGTTGTGAGAAAATATCCTTTACACTGCCCATCTTCTTACTTCTCAGGACTTTCTGGTGTCAGATGTTGCTCACAGCAAAAATAGATCCAAGAGAGTGATTTTTAGAAGTGGGCAAAATTGCCTTCTGTATAGGGATGTGGGTTTGGGTTTTTTATATTTTTTAACTGGGATCTGCTGCTTAACTTGCACAGCACTCCTGCAGAGTTGGTATCCATAGTGAGTACACTGGAATGTGGTACAGAAGTAGGAAAACAGCCTTTATCAGAGCTCTCCTGCCAGAGGTAGTACAAAGCTGTGGAAAGCCCTAGCATGGCACTCAGTGACGTGCCCTTTGGGTAGGCTAGAGGACAAGAATCAATCATACTGTTCTCCATAGGTAATGATATGCTGTAAAACAGCCAAACATGACAAAAGAAAAATCTTCTAAAAGAGCCAAGTGCTTAAATGGATGAGTAAACCCACAAGTCACAAAATTACCTGGGATGGGAAGGTGAAGTAATAAATAAAGAGGAAAATAATTGAAAAACCTCGACACTAGAAAAGAATGGGATTCAACATCCTTAACAGTACTGAATAACTGAGAAGGTCAAAATAATAATAGGAAACAGTGGATTAAAAGGGAAGGATTGAAACCTTGCCAAAGGATGAGATTAAAGTGAAAGGGATGATATAAGAACTTATAAAGGACATATGAGACACTTCCTTAACTTCAGAACAGCTCAGGGAATATGTTCCCTTGATAGGAGGGAAACAACATGGAAAAAAGGATAACAAATTTCAAATAGTACTGTTCAGGACAACTGGGAAAAGGAGATATTTAAAAACTTGAAATACATGTTTGCTCTTCTGATTCCGTGTATCTCAGAGGAGCAAAATGTGTATCCATGTATGGAATTCAAAGAACTTTTACTACAGGTTTCAGGTGTAATCTTGTATGATGTATGAGTCCCCCTTATTTATGAGATCAGTAGTTGTGATATGAATGGTTGTTTTTGAGGCAGGGAGAGGAAGGAGCCATTCCACTCACCAACCACACAACAGTCTTTGCACTTTTAAACGTCAGTGCATCTGCAAAAGTACATCCTCTGCCCATTGATGGGACCCAAGAATTTGTGAGCTTTTTCCCTCAAAGGGAGGATGCCTCCTGAAACTGGCAGACTCTTGACTACTTAGGGACATGGTTTAGTGGTGCACGTGGCAGTGCTAGGTTAACTGTTGGACTTGATCTTAAGAGTCTTTTCCAACCTAAATAATTCTATGAGTCTACTTGTCTTTCTAATCCCTAGTATAATAATCCAATGACCACGTGGCTGAATAAAGAGTCTACTTAATGGGTTTTTTTTAATACAACTGCTTTTCTGCACCCTGCCCTCCCAAATGAAGGTTGTCTTTTATGTTTCTCTCTTTCTGATAGATAAAATCATCATGGCAGTTTTATTTTTTTTAACAGTACAGAGCAACTGATTTTGTGGTTCCTGGGCCTGGAAAAGTAGAGATGACCTACACTCCCACAGATGGAGGCAAACCAGTCACATATCTGGTCCATAACTTTGAAAGTAGGTATTTTCTCTAAGTAGTGATTAAAACTGATTTTGGGTTTAATTCAACCTTGAATTGTCAGTCAGAGCTATTTGATGGTAAAATATGACTTTGAGGTAGAGTGGGGGAGAAAGTTTACACCACCTTCATTTATCTCTCAAGTACTGAAAATTACTTGAAATCTTCCTGGGACCAAAGAGGCATATCAAACACACAATCATACTAGACTGGCCACCTGTCATGCTCTTTGTATGATAACTCTGGTAGCAGCATCTATGTTTTTCTCTCTGATCAGAGAGAAAAACACTTGCTGTGTAAACATGGCTTGACCAAAGGGGAGATATATTTAAGAACAATCCGGGTATAATTCTTTCTGGGTTTAGTTTGTCTTACTGGTCTCTATCTATCTTCACAGTTTTTGCCCTTCTTTATGAAGCAGTCTTTTTTTTTTTTTTTCCTCTCCATAAAAATGAGAATTAACACTTAGCATGCAAGGTGGGAAGGAGATTTGACAAGGATGCTCCTGACTGAGTAGGTTCTAAGTGTTTTAAAAGATACAGTCCCAAACGTTTTGGTGTCCCTCCTGTCTGTATGACTGTGCTGGTTATATACAGGTTCCTAGGCTCAGGAGGAGTCCTGACATTGCTGGCCTTTGTTGCATGGAAACAATTACACACATGTTGCCAGAACTCAGGGTGTTTTCCCCAGGGGCAGGGTTCAGGAAAACATCACACAAGTTCTCTCTCTTGTCTATCAGTGATCAAAGAGTTCAGTATTTGTAGCCATGGTGACTTATGTGTGAGTGTTGGGTTACTTATGTTTGGGTTTTAGCTCCAAAAACTTATGTCCACAGAATCCTGGTTTGTGTGCAATTTGTTTGGCAAACAGATACCGAGACTGACATGTGACGCTCTTTCGTAATATTTGATTTCTCTGGCATTCTTCCTCGTAAGAGCCTAAATCTCTACTGTCTCTTGTTGGACAGCCTTTTATTTGGAGTTCACCTGCTTAACTGCCAGTGCTAATTTGTTTTCATTTGCTAGGTAACTGGTGAGCTTGTACTGGAGATGTCTGGCCATCCAGCTGCCAGTCTGAATTGCTGCTCTGCTTTGCATCAGCAAGCAGAAAGCAAGGAAGTGTAAAGATGGCAGATTGCTTCTGTTGCTCTGGGGAACTGCCCTCCCCACAGATAACTGTTGTGCCACCATATTTCCACAATGCATAAGGGAAGCTTGTCTTATTGCTATGCTAATATGTGCAACATTGACACTGAATCAAGAGATTTTAGTAGGCAGTAGGATTGTATGATTGCAATGAGGAATATTTTTTACCTATATGGAAATAACTATTTGAATAAAACTTAATAGCTGTCATCTAGCAACCATGAAAACATGGCTCCAGAGGACACAATCTCTGTAGCTGATCAGACCCTATTCCATCCTTGACTCACCAGAAGAGGCATGGGGACAACATGTATTTTCACTGGTAACAACAGGAATTTCATTCTCTGCCAATATCAACTTTAAATGACCTTGCTATCTTGGCAAGCAGATAAACCTCATCTAGCTTCCCCTCTTCATTCTGCATGTATGTTCATGTAGTAATAAGCATCCCAAGGTAAGGACAAGTGAATATTAGGAGAGGGTATTAAAAAAAAATAAAATTGTGTGTTTCCAGAACAAAGGTCCCTGATACAGGCACTGTACAAAAACTACAGGGGTGGTGGTTGTGAGTTGCTTAAAATTAAGTGCACAGTATCTGCTTTTCACTAGAAACACAGAGCTGTGCTCTGAAGGTGGCAAAGCTTTTTCATGAAGCTCTAGACCCTTCTCTCACCCAAAATCAGCCTCTTCCATGATCTGAATACTGCTTTCTCCCAGGTGAGCTGGGCTGCAAGTTCAAGGCACTTCCATTCATGCTTCTAACACATCTGCATTAACAATCCAAGTCATGTGAGTGTTGATAGTTCTTCAGAGCCTTCTCAGGACTTGCCCAAGCACCCACATTCTGGCACATTCTTCCCACAACTTGCTGGAAGTGAGCCTGAGCAGGTGAAACAAAGCTGCAGGGTAGGCCAGACACGTGCTGGAAAGATGCAGGAATGCATGTGGCAGCTTGTTTACCTGAGCTAGGCAAAGCAGTCTTTGACTGCTGGAGTTAGTTCTGCAGTCAAAGCATTTAAGATGAGAGCAAATCTGTTTCTGGCTTTGACTGAGATCCCCTGCTCCAAACTGCTGCCTGCTGCTTTGATAGAAAAATACTGTATTACTTAGATGGCTAGTAGGAGTTCAAGCACACTCACTTCTGTCACAGTTTTGCTGCTTAGGCTGCTTAGGAGTAGGAAGAAACTTCTTACGGGGATTAGATCACAGTATTAAGATGAACTTAGCTGTAAAACAAAACCACCTTCCTATCCATGTGTCACAGGACTGCTGGAGCTTTGAGCTGATAGTGCAAAGAGAATCTTCTCTTGGAAGAATCAGCCTTTAAATTGAGAACTAGATCAAGACATCTGGGGATAGCACCAGCCTGCCTGCCAGCCAGAGTATTCTAGGGGAGAATGTCAAGTTCTTAATCAAAACTAAATCTAGTTGATTCCTATCTGTTCTTCCTCCACTAACAGGCTGTGGTGGTGTAGCCATGGGAATGTACAATCTTGACCAGTCTATCAAGGATTTTGCCCACAGTTCCTTCCAAATGGCACTGTCTAAAGGCTGGCCCCTCTACATGAGCACCAAGAACACCATTCTGAAGAGATATGATGGCCGCTTTAAAGACATCTTCCAAGATATCTATGACAGGTAACTAGTTGTGTACCCTCTACTGTATAAGTCTGCAGCAGGAACATCCCCTCCAGCCTTGTGAGTTGCATTTTAAGACATTCAGCAGCACTTCGGGAGGGAGGGGATGCCTTCTCTGTCATGGTCTCCCTTGTCCTGCAAGGCACAGTACTCAATATTTAAAGCTCTGCTAACTATGGTTGTGGTGTTCATCCCTTCCATCAGAGAGTCAGATTCTCTGTAGGTGCCTCTGTGGTCCTGAAGCAGCCTTGCAGTAGCTTAGCAAAGCAGACAAGGGAAAAAAGAGTAAAGAAAATGCAAACTTACTTTAGTTTTTTTTTTTACTCATCTCTGTGCACCTCTCTATGCACAAATTGTGCAATCCCTGTTTATATGGCAAGGTGTTCTGTTTTCTGTTTTCCAGAGAATATAAGTCCAAGTTTGAAGCCAAAAAGATATGGTATGAGCATAGGCTCATTGATGACATGGTTGCTCAGGCCCTGAAATCTGAAGGAGGTTTTGTCTGGGCCTGCAAGAACTATGATGGGGATGTGCAGTCTGACTCTGTTGCACAAGGTATGAAATGCTTCCTGTGCTACACTGAATTAGGCTCAGTGGCAGTCGCTTGGGACCTTCCATCACATCTTCTGTTGTGGCCCAGGAGGTTGTCTTGGGTCTCAGAACTTACATTTCAAGCCTGTGGCTAGTCATGGAGATATCAGGCTGTCAGTTTTCTGATTTCACTTTTACAAAAAAATCTATTGAATGTAGACTGTGTATTTATTTACAGGAGGGAAGTTCCTACCAACATAAGTGATAGGCTTCCTGTTCTAATGGACAGTATCCAGACAGCTGGGACACTGTTGCTGACTGGTGATGAGTGTACTGGCAGGTGCTCTACCGATAACTAAGAAAATCTGTCAGGTGTAAAGAGAGAGATTGATCCACTTAACTTTATAGACTTGTAGTGCTTGATCAGCATCCTACATAAGCAAGCTGCCTGGTGCCAAAACAAATGCAGAATCCTACAGGACAAGATGTGTGGCTTTATGTAATATGCTCTTTATAAAGTAATGCCACTAAAGTGCCTCCCATAGGACAAGGATGTGTGTTGGACTACTAAACAAAGAAGCTTTCAGAGATGCACATCTCTGAAATCTACGGAGTTAGAAGTGATGTGAATGTCCAGTTTCACTAGCTCCTGTTCCTTTCACTAAAGCAAATGCTCTTGATAAGGAGTTTTGTTTCCTCTTTCCCTGTGGGGAAGATAAGCAGCCCAACATTGCTTATTTTTGATTCTTTTTCTTTTACTGTACTTTTCAGTAAAAATCTGTCCAGCAAGTTAGGTAAGAACACTGATTTTCTTGAAATGGTGCAGAATGTCTGTATATCTCTATCTCATGGTTCAGCAGCCCTTCCTGATCAGATGAGCTGTTATTTGATGTGTTATGATTAGCCAGTTAGTTGCAGCGGCACTTGCTGTTCAGGGATACTCACATCAAGGCTGGGAGTATGTGGGGGGATTGTAGGATGGGGGGGTTAAGGGGAATTTAATGGAGCTGTCCAAAGGAGACACTGAACTTTTTAAACTTGTATTATTCTGTAGGCTATGGTTCTCTGGGAATGATGACCAGTGTGCTGATCTGCCCCGATGGCAAGACTGTTGAAGCAGAAGCTGCTCACGGCACAGTTACTCGTCACTACCGCATGCACCAGAAAGGCCAAGAAACCTCCACTAACCCCATTGGTGAGCTGCCTTTTACTGCCCTCCAGTGATCTCTGCACATGAAAGAATAAGCTTAGAGTGAGAACATCTGCTTCCTTTCTGCAGAGAACTGCACCACTGAAACTGCAATAATGCAGTTCATAATGCATTTTTCTTCAGTGGTGACTGTGACGACCCACCCTTAAAGGGAAGGAAGCATCTAACATTCATAAGTGCTCATTGGTGGAAAGGAGCAACAAAAGTCAGAGTGTCCACAAACAATCATAAAGTTTTATTAGTGAATTACACACTTGACATGGAAATTGGTATGTTAGTCCCTGACATACTGTATAAGCACACAGCTGTGGGTTTTGGATAAAGGATAGGATGAAAGAGAAGAGAGAAATTAAAGAGGGAAAGATGAATGAAAGAAAGAAAGGAAAAGAGAGAATTAAAGAAGAGGAGAAAAGAAAGGGAGGTCTTTGGTCTCAATCCTACCATGCCTACTTCCTGCCACTCATTCTTGCACTTGTGCTGTACTGTGTTGTGGTTTCTCCCACAGAAAAGTGCTGCCCTATCTCCACCTGCCCCCCCTTCTCCAGTCAACTCTTGTTCTTTCTCCCAGCATGTTAATACCAACAGTCCTTGGTTGGGTCCATGGACATTGGTTATTGGTGTTTGAGACATACACCACAGAGAGTGTTTCTGATTAGCTTGAGAGGAGCTTAGTCCAAGCATGGTTCATTAAGGCCAAGGCCTAATGAGCATTTCTTGGATCACAGCGTGGCCTGAGGGGGTGGGGCAGGGGAATGCACCACCACAATTCATCACTGGACTATAGTGAACTCCTCTGGGCCTCTACAGAGACTGGAGCAAAATCAGGCTGGAATGGAGTGAGTGTGAGGAATAAACTAGACCTAACCTAGACTTTGAGACATGCATTCACTCTTCAGGAAGCAATTTATAGCTATAAGGGCCTAAGGTTTAGATTGGTTGTTTTTTATTTTACTCATATTTCTGATGCTCCAAAAGACCCAGCCACACCCCAGACTTTAACTACACACTTAAAGTGTCAATGCACTTAGAATGGGACATAAGGGAAAGAATCCTTTAAAATTGCATAGAGACCAGACTATAATATAGTAGGAGGAAGAAGACTGCACCCTTCTGTCACAAAGATAATGTTCTGTGTAACCACAGTCCTCCCACATGTCATACTTTGTTCCTACCCAAGTCAGAAAGAAAGATAAAATGACATGTGAAGAGATTACTGGAGGCAGTGAGTACTTTCTGGGGTCTGTTCTTTTTTAGAGCTGCACAAAAGGCAAAGAATACCTAGATGAAGATAAGTGTTCTCTTTCCTATACCAGATTTTCTACATTTTTCCGATATAAAAAATCCAATTATTGTTTCACATGATGATTTAGAACGATTTCCAGGGAGTTCTAGAGGGATAGAATAACCCAGTGTTCTCTCTCAGCCTCCATCTTCGCCTGGACAAGAGGACTTGCTCACAGAGCTAAGCTGGACAACAACACTAGCCTCAAGAACTTTGCAGCTGCCCTGGAAGAAGTCTGCATTGAGACCATCGAGTCTGGCTTCATGACAAAGGACCTTGCTGCCTGTATCAAAGGCCTACCTAAGTAAGTGTATGAAATAACCAGCTGTGCTTGAAGGAGGCTGTTTTACGCAGTGGTTCTGAACAGCATTTGCTCGAATGTTATTTTAGTGTGGGGAAGAACAGGACTCACTGTACTCAGTGCTGCATGAACGGAACACGAGACACTCCCTGACCTAAGTAGCTTAGTCCAGATTGCTTGGTCCCTGTTATTGTACCAAATGAATGGGCAAAAGAGTAAGGAAGGAACTGCAAAGAGGTTTGGTTTTTTTTATGACAGTCTAGTTACATTGGTCAGATCCTACCTTCATCCTAATAAATGAAGAAAACCTACATAACTGCCAAATATCACCTGTATACCCTCTTCTCTGGAGCCTTTTGGCAGAAAAAAAAGAACACAGCCTGATGAGTAGGAGATAATTCTTTTGGGTTTAGAGGCAAGACTTAGAGTTCTTTGAACAGTCTTCCCCTGCTTTAACCATTTGAGAGTGTACAACTAATGCCTGTTTTTTGTTTCCCCCCCTCCAGTGTCACACGCTCTGACTACCTGAACACCTTTGAGTTCATGGACAAGCTCGCTGAAAACCTGAAGCAGAAGCTGGCCTCTCTGCCCAAACTTTAAGGCAGGGGTTCTACTCAAGCTCCCCTAGCAAGGTGTCTCCCACTTACATGAGAGTGTAAGTGGCACCATATCATGCTTTGTTGTGCTTCTTTTAGGATGTTCTTCATCTTTGGCCTCTGGCATTTTCACACTCTTTGGCAGATACTCCTCATCAAAATCAACTCTTTGCCTAATTACTCTAGTTTTTCTGTTGGTTTTCTGTCTGATGCTCTTTCTGCTCACACTTGAGTCCTCCTGCAAAGCACAGGCACTTGAAGTCTCTTTCCTGAGGAAAAGCAAATTTTGTGGCCTGGAATCACCTGAGGGAACATCATGACTTGAGAAGGTATGAACTGGGCTTTTTAATAAACTCTCCATATTTTGGATCTCTTAACCTGTAGCATTAAGTCACCACTTTCAAGACTGGGCAGCTGTGCTAGATTCACCACAAAGGTACTTTCAAGATCTTGGACTCCATCAGGGCAGCGGGAATGGTGCTCCACACTACAGTCTTTATTCTTGCTGTCAAAAGCCCACACATAAGCCTTTTGTCCCACCTCACAAACTTCAGACTCACTAGAACAACATGTTGCAACTTTTGGCTGAAGAAGCTTCTTTGCATTTTGAGCACGCTCTTCACCTTGAGATATATCAGGACTACTTTTTGCACTGTTTTTAATTGCACTTGTTTTCTTTTTTCCTGTGCTTGCTTTTTTAACAGTCATTTTCTCACCAGTTCTAGGTTTTCTTAACAGGCTCCCTCAGGGGTATAAAAACATTTACCCACGATTGCTCACAATGTACTTGCTGAACTTTTACAGACAGTCTCACTCCCCTTAGATGTGAAACTATGCCAATATATAGATGATATTCTAATTGGAGGAGATTCCCATGAAAAGGTGGAGGAAGCAGCAACAGTGTGGGAAGCATTTCATGAAAGAGGAATTGAAATTCCACCTGAAAAATGTCAAGGACCAAATAAAGAAGTAAAATTTTTGGGTACTTGGTGGAGTGCAGTCAGTGCAGCACTTCCTCCAGACACTTTAAAGGAAATAAAACAAATACAGATGCCCCAAATCAAAGAAAGAATTACAACAGTTTGTGGCAACTTTAGCATATTGGAGCAAACATGTACCTGGATTTTCTATCATTGCTGGTATATGTGGCACTTTATCACGCTTTGTTGTGTAACATTTCAAACACTAGACAAAAAATGAACATAACACTTAAAATTTTTAAAGATCATGTTTTTTTAAACCCCTTGAGCTGCTGCCCTAGGCCTTACTTTTGCCAAGCAGAGGAATGTGATACTGTTCAAGTTCAGTGTGGGTCTGGACTCCTAACAGCACACCTGAGGTTTCTCTCTGTGACTTTGATCTGTGTTTCTGTTATTTCTTTATCTCAGTCTGAAAGCCAGTCTGTGTCACATCTCTGGTCAAACTGGCGGTGAGCTACTGTCCAACTGACCTCAGAAATCAGAGCCGTCCTCCTCTCTCCAGTACTGTCCATGAGTATAAGTGGGTTCACAGGGCTATGCCAGCTCTGTTGCAGTCCCTCGCAATTTATCTTTCAGTGCCAACAGGAGCAGAGTATCCTGACACTAAGGGATTTGGTTCCATTGCTGGGGTCAGGACTGTAGCATTCAAGAAGCACTTAGTAAATGCTGGAAACAAGCCTTACAGGCTAAGATCCTATTAAAGTCATGCTGCAGTGTCTAAATGCAGGCCCTGCATTTAGTTATGCTCCTTCTGACTGGATGTGAAGCATAGGAACTGTTATCTCTTCTCCCCTCCCCCAATTCATAAAGGTGCAAAACTTCTAATTTTCTGGGCTATTACTTACCCTTTCTGTTGTGATATAGCATCAGATCATGACTGTGAAAAACTATTCCATCCATGGTTTTGTGTTCTGGGTTTTTTAAGGAATAGTTTTAGTTCAGACTAAAATAAAAACCAACTAACATTCTTTGTGTCTCTCCTTCCTTTGTGTGATTAGCAGATACTGGGAAATTCTGCCTCAGAGAGACAGTCCAGTAGCTTTTGGCACAATCCAGTACAGGCTGGGACAGACTGTTGGAACGTGGTATAAGCACAAAATAATATCTCCCTTCTTAGAATAGAGTTTTAATTTGTTCTGGCCCAGGTAAAGCTGTGACCTGTAGCGTGGTAGGCATCAGGTAGTGTACAGGAATTTAAAAGGTACCACTTCCATTGAAATTTTATTCTGGGACTAATAGAAACTGATATATCACCACTTGGCAAAACAGAAGCTGGTTAGACCTGAACTAACTCTGACCCTGCACAGCTCACAAGCTAAAGGTGGTGATTAGGACAGAAATGCCAATGTTAGACTAAATGAGCAAAACACATTAGGCATGTGTGTACCAGGGTGAATTTATGCTGATACTTTTGGTCTGTGTTTGGCCCTGCCACCTGGGAAAGCTTTGCTCCTTCCCTGGCAAGTTATGGGAAAACAAGCACTGATAAACGGGAAAGTTGTCCTTGAAGAGAGCTTCTTGTATAAACTGTTTTAATTGGTATTCTGTGATTGGCTAGTTATCCTCCAAGGTCACTTGAAGGAGAGATTGAGGAGGAGGATGAGGAAGGCTCAGCCCCAGACTCAATTAAGAAAGACCCCCAAAACACACTGCGTGTGCGTGAGGGGATTTCCAAAGTTCTCATGCGTGCGCAGAAGAGATGCACTGACATAACCAGGAGGTGGGACTGAGGGCCTCGGGCTGGCTGGTGCTGGCCACACCTAGGGGGGTTGTGGCCACTTAATTAATTGTATAAAAAGCAGATAGTGCTTTCTTGGAGAGGGTTAACTTCACACTAAGGACAACGTTGCCTTTGGCAGGGACGCTTGCCAGTTTGTGAACTTACGGACTCCCCAAGGATGCAGCTTCTGCTATGGGTAGTTATAGGCATGCTAGGTTGGTAAGATAACTTTATGGGCAACAGCTGGGTAACTGGGGCTTATTTCTCTCCTCCTTCCTCCCTTTTGGGTTTGTTCGTTTTCTTGGCCGCCTTTTGGTAATAAATATTGGTTTTTGTTGAGCTAGCAACGGTGTCTAGTTTTTCACGTTCCAGTATATCTCACACCTTTCCCTATTACAATGTGTTTGAAACACAGCTCTATAACTGCTAGGAACTGTCACTATACCTTTAATAGGAATGAATGCAGTCTACAATTCTGTTGTCAGTACAAGCACATAAGACATAGAGCTGGAAAAAGCCCCACTTCTGATCCCTAGAGGCAATGAAAACAATTACTGGGAACAGCTGGAGATCCATGTTCCCGCCTGGCTTCTGACATCAGTAGTTCAACACAGTCAGGCAGGTCCTACTACAACAGCACCTCTAACAAATTCCCTGTTATTTATTGTTCCTACCTGGCTTCCAGAGTTACAGAGTACCAGAGACAGCTTGGTACCTTTGAGGAAGCTGAACAAATAAGAGGGCATTTTTAAATCTTATGCTTTTCGTTTGCTAGTTTTAATGACTCTCTACTATTACTTATGTATAAGCAATGTGGTAGCATTTACCCAACTGCAGATGACACTCTTTTCCCTCTGTACTAACAAAGTTTCCATCTTCTGGAGGACTCTGCAGAGTACAGCAAGACCCAGTCTATCCTCATGAACTGATGGATGTTGCTGAAGTGCTAAACAGAAGCAGTAAGTATGGTCAGAAGAACAGAGCATCCCTCTCCTTGCTCTGCCACAAAGAAAGAAGAGACAATTTTCCTGCTTCCAAGGGGGCACATTTCCTTCCTGTTAACAACCAATACGATCCTTTCTTTTCCCAACCACTCCCTCAAACATTTGTTATCAATAATCTTCAAAGTTAGATAGCAGTAGACCCTGAAAAAGCAAGTGCTGGAGGCCAGCGGGTGCTCAGTCTGCAATGGAAGAGTACAGGCTTTCCTGAAACTCAGCTGAGTACTGGAGTACTGTGTCCAGCTCTGGAGTTCCCAACTTAAGAAGGCCACAGACCTGTTGGAGCAAGTCCAGAGGAGGGACACAAGGATGATCAGAGGGCTGGAGCACCTCTCCTATGAAGACAGGCTGAGAGAGCTGGGGTTGTTCAGATGAAGAGAAGAAAGAGGAGAAAGAGAAAAAAGGGGGGGGGGGGGGAAGAGAGACGGGGGCCCAATCCACTCCCTTTTATAGTTAACCTGACACACATCTCTTATGTAACACTAGATTTTCTGTGCTTTTTTGTTCACACATGCAAAACCAGCCCTTTTCCAGGAAGTGAGCTGGGGGGAGGGATTGGGCACAAGACTCAAGGCGGAGCAGGGAGTTGGCTCAGGACAGCGCTGCCCCACCTCTGCAGGACCCTCTCTCCAATCACCTTTCCTGTAACAATACTCAAAATGAGACAAAACATGCATAGGTCTGGTCCTCTACCTCACCCAGTGCTCAAACATTCCTAAATGTTGGTTGCTGTCACAGTTTAAGCCCAGATGGAAATCATGCACCATGTAGCCGCTTGCTCAAACCCCTATTTCTTCCCCCAGTCACCCAGTGAAATGGGGAAGAGAACTGAGGTAAAACTTGTATGTTGAGATAAGAAAGTTTAATAACTGCAAATAAAAGTAAAAATACAATAATAATGGTAATTAATAATAATAACTAACAATAATAAAAAGGAAACAAACAGGTGTTACATAATGCAATTGCTCACCACCCACTGACCAATGTCAAGCCCCCCTTCCTGAACCCAGACTGGCCACGCTTCTAGGTATATAGTTAGAATAAATACAACTTAGCAAAAAACCAAAACATCAGTGTGTTAACAGCATTACCATTCCAAATCCAAACACAAAACTGTAAGAGCTACTAAGAAATTAACCCTACCCTAGCTAAAACCAGGACAGTTGGGTAGAGGGCTCATATTCCACTGTAGCAAGTTTTATATAGCAGACTAAGGGAGAACGCAGGAAGGAAGCAGAAGCCAGTGAGCAGCTAACCACACAGAATGTAAGGGCTGTCTGTGTCCATCATTACAACAGACATCCACCCAACACTTTCCCCACCCCATGAGTCCCAAAGATTTCAAAACAGAAGAAATCTGCAGTGCAAAGCTCAATTCATTGAAGCAGTCCTTTGGCTGCACTGATTGGAATAGTTCAGCTCTCTGGTCAGCAACCTCCATCTTTGCTCTGGCCTCTTCAATTGTGGCTGGACAGAGAAGCTTCTTGGAGGTTGCCTATTCAACTGTTATTTTCATCCTCACTCGTTCCTGTTGTTATAAACTTGCCTACCTTGGCACTGGGACATCCTTCAGGAAGCCATTCTTCTTCCTCTTTCATCTTCTGGGTCCTTCCCTTGGCTTTAACAGGATTCTTTTTTCTTCTGCAGCGAAGAGAGCAGAGGAACGCAGTGTCTGTAAATGGGTCGCCCTGCCTCAGTTTACTGCAAAACCAAAAGGATTACATTGAGTCATCAAGGATTCCTTGAAAACTTGTATAATTTCAGTCCCCAAAGTTTCTGATTTTACTGCAGTGCTTCTCCTATAAGATGATTGAGTGGTACAGTTTGTTCCTTGTCCATTACAGGGTACCTTCTGACCCAATATAACCAGCTATTCAAAGAAAGTTCAAACTGTGACACTTTTCAGGGAAGAAGCATAGTACTACCCTGTAGCATAACAACAAAGTCATTATTTTAGGAGTTAAATGATTCTGTCCAATAGCCATTGGATGTACTGAATCTACAGTTTCTTAGGGAAAAGATGCAGCTGTTTGTTTAGAAACTCATATCTGCTAGAAAAAGTGAATATAGATAAGCCTGCTCTCAGGAGGAAAGCACTACTCAGGTGTGTAAAACTTTATCCATCGCAGAATACAAATGAAACCAAGGCTTTTGCTGAGCCATCTCTATCTAGTCTGTACTTTATCCTCATGTTCCTACCTCAGTAGCACTGGAGTACCACAGATGCCCATTTCAACAAGGGAAATAACATCTTTGGTACCTTGTTACCAGAAGCCTACACATCCATCCCGTGATGATGCAGAATTTTGGCATAACCACACTGTGGTAGAAGAGAAGGACCACAGAACACAAAGAGTAAGAGCAACTTAAACAAAGCAACAGAGGATCCAGCCCTGGAGGGTGAACACATGAGAGCAGAGCAAGTGTTACAGCATGGGAGCAGTCACTGGAAGGAATAGTTTAAAGCCCAACCTGTTGAGTTTTGGTTCTGTATAGCAGGCTGGGTTCCGTCTCCGCCTGGATAAGCGCCCTGATACTTCTTCTGAGGTGGAGCAGGACAGAATCCTGGTATTGTTCAAGTCCTGTAGTGGTCTGATCTCTGCAAAGGGAGACATTCACATGAGTTGATCAAAGTGATTCCAAATAATTTCCAGATATCCTAAGAAATAACAGCTGCCAAATAGAAAGGACTGCATTACCACATTTCTCTGAACACTGCACAAACCTGAATCCAAATCACATTCCCTCTAAACTCAGGAGACCATTTTAATCCAAAAATACCAGACCTGCTCCTCAAAAGTCAGCTCATAAATCAAATTAGGTTCCTCAGTGAAAAAATACAGATTACTAATACTAATTGTAACAAATGTGGATAGAGCCTTCCTAAATCTTCGTTTGCAAAGCCTAGCCATGATGATGAATACTGCCAGTATCATGGGCCCTGGTGTAGTAGAAAAATGATACAAAAAATATATTTGATAGTTGTAATGCCCAGGAGCTTACAGCCTGGAGGAGAGAGCAAGCTTATGGCACATAAACAACCTACCAGCAACTCACCAACTTCTAGCAAGATAAGACCACGCCAATGTTCACTGCAGCTTTCAAAGTGAAGTCAGAAAAAAGGAGGGCAGGAGAACAAACTTACTCCCTCCCTACAAAGTACAGCCCACTCTAGTTGTAACAGGCCTGTTTGTCAACAGCTACAGAAAGAGAAACCCCATGAAATTACTCTCTTTACTGAGCATCCACTTATAGCAAACTCCTCAAAAGGATCAGCTTAACTACTGTATTACCAGCCAAGGGATACACCCTCCAAATTCTTAACAAAAAAAAATTTAAGGTAGCTCCCGATTAATTTCCAGTGAAGATCTCACCTAGAGGTATGAAATCTGAAACCTTGCAGCACTAAACCACTTTGGACCAAAAATTTGCCATCTTCTTCACATTCTGTGCCCAATAATGCTGACTCCAGTAAGCAGGGTCAGCATCAAATTAGACTTTTCAACTGCTTGAGTAGGTGATTTTCTAAATTAATATGCATGCTCTGCAGATAACAGTGGTAAAACAAGACTTGCAGCACATGCTGCTAGTCTTTCCCAATATCCACAAGTGGAAAAAACGGCCAGCAATTCTCATAGGAATGCTGATAAACTAGAAGCAAATGCAGCCACAGAAATGACTGGCCAGCACCAGTGGAAGCATAAATGATCAGACTGGAGACTGATCTTTAACTCTGAAAAAAAGAAAAGAAATAAAATATAAGCATTTGCTGCATGGATTCTTTCCTCTCATCTCCAAACACAGGAACCCTCCCCAGCCTACCACCTACCAGGTTCCTGTGAAGGTGAGCTCTGAGAACTTGACTGAGAACTTGTTTCCCTGGGTATTTCCTCTGCAGTCTTCTCCTTAAATATCAGGGAGTTTTTCAGCCAAACAGGGGATTTTTCTGGCATTCTGTTGCCCTCAGCACCCAAGCTCTTGGAAACTAGTACTTCAGTAAGCCTGGAGCTGACAGGCAAAGCTGCACAACTGGTCATAGAGGAGGATTCAAGATTGTTAAAAAGGTCCATAGGAGTATTTGTAAGTGATATCTCAGGTATCTGCTCCTCCAGGAAGCCATCTGGCTCAGACAGCAGATCTGTAATGAAGGAAAACTTCCCCATAGGGACAGTTTGCTTGGGTGCACGTTCCGTTGAACTTCCAGTGAGAACATCGGCACCATCACTTTGTCTGGCCAGGGTATCAGACTCTGCAGGTCTAGAGTTGTTCCTCTGAGGCTTGGGTTTGCAATAGGCTTTTTTTTTCAAATCACTCATGTTGTTGTCAACATTAGCTTGCCTTTCTTCTTGAAGGCCCCTTGTCTGTTTTTTATTGCTCTTTTGATAGTTCTTAGCAGCTCTGGGGATTTTGCTAGCTTTGATCCCAGGAACTGACCTGGGAGGTACATTTTCACCCCCATCATATTCTGTCTGGACGCAACCCAAGTCTCCTGCAAGATCCAAAGGATGGATAATGTAAGTTTTCCTGCTACATTTAACATTACCAGGCAAATCCTTTGTGCTCTCCTTAGCTACCCCTTGAACATCTGTACAGGGCCCAGAAACATCAACTTCGTTTCTCTGATCACAATTGCTTAACCTGACAGTTTTTCTCCTTGTCTGGCTTCTTTTAGGATGTTCTTCAGTTTTGGCCTTTCGTATTTTCACACTCTTTGGGAGATACTCCTCATCAGAATCAACCACTCGCCTAATTACTCCAGTTTTTCTGTTGGTTTTCCGTCTGATGCTCTTTCTGCTCGCACTTGAGTCCTCCTGCAAAGCACAGGCACTTGAGGTCTCTTTCCTGAAGAAAAGTGAATTTTGGGGACTGGAATCATCTGAGGGAATTTCATGACTTGAAAAAGTATGAACTGGGCTTTCTAATAATCTCTCCATATTTTGGATCTCAAAGATAGGTCCCTTCTTAACCTGTTGCATTAAGTCACCACCTTCAAGACTGGGCAGCTGTGCTGGATTCACCACAAAGGTACTTTCAAGATCTCGGATTCTATCAGGAGAGTGGGAATGGTGCTCCACACTACAGTCTCTGTTCTTGCTGTCAGAAGCCCCCACACAAGCCTTTTGTCCCACCTCACAAACTTCAGACTCAGTAGAGCATGTTGCAACTTCGGGCTGAAGAAGTTTCTTTGCATTTTGAGCACACTCTTCACTTTGAGATATATCAGGACTACTTTCTGCACTGTTTTTAGTTGCGTTTGTTTTCTTTTTTCCTGTACTTGCTCTTTTAACAGTCATTTTCTCACCAGTTTTACGACTGCCTTTGCTTTTAACCTTTATAGGAACAAACTCAGGGACTTGGCTATAGGTGGAGTCCGTTTCAACACCACACTCAGTTTCTTTAGCCTGTGGCTGATCACAGAAAGTCTCTTTACCCACAGATTTCCTATCAGAAATAACATTGGTTTGCGTAGGTGAAGCCAGGGAGCTGGGTGATTTCAGCTGTTGCTGTGTGTTGTTGTTGCTGGAGCTGCTGCTGTCCTTTGTGATACTACACAAAGCAGCCTGAGTGGAACTGACACGCGGGAAGATACCCACACCAGAAGATGGAGTGCTTGTAGCAAATAGGGTGGAGTGCTTTCTCCTCTGAGTAACGTGCCCTTGTGAGAGACAATCAAGGAAATGTTTTGCCATCTCATCAGCCTCACACGAAAGACGATGACTTTGCCAGGCAAGCGCTGGGGAACTGTTGGGGTTTTGTTCGGTGGTGCACAAGACCTCTGTTGGAAAGACAAAATTCATTCCTAAGGTGGAGAAATGCGGCAGGCAAATGCCAGCTTTCCCCATACCAAGAAAAGCCTTGCCCCACACACTGCCACAAATCCAGAGCATAGAAAAACATGATTTTGTCTCTACAGAGACTCCCCAAACTTTCTGTGTAACAGAATTGCTCATCTGGCTCCCCCTCTGAACAAAAAGACATTCCAAAGCAAAATCCCGTGACCTGCGATAATATTTAGGAACACTCATGATCCATATAAGAGTTATTACTTATATGGTAAATCCACAAGGAAAAGTTGTGCATCTAGTCAGATCCTACACCTTCAGACATTTCTGAAAATCTTATGCAAGCTCAGTGCCTATTGCTCAAAAAGCCTGATTTGCAATCTTGAACTATTGCAAACATGCCAAATATCCACAGCAACACATCCCATTCTGGGATATGAGTAACTACAGCAATAACAGCACCAGGGAAGCATGCAGTTCCTACCAGCTATTGGAGTTATGGTTAGGAGCTAACTGGAACTCTGGCACTGCACTCATGCATTTCTGAGCACAGATACACAAAGTCATACCAGAAGAACAGCAAAAGATGCAAATTTACCTCCAAAGATGCAAGAGTCATGAAAAGCCTCCTGCGTTTCCTTTGTTTCAGAGAACTTCTTCCCATTCTCTTCCTGGTGGGATTGAGGTTCCTCAGCATGCTGTGGTGGCAAAGTGTCTTTGGAGGCAACAGGCACAATTTTCAGGGGCTCATTAGAAGCAGGTCTCTGAAGTTCTCCTGAGGATGTTTGTACTGCTGTGGAGCTGCCACCTTGCCGTCCTGCATCACACAGCTTGGAAATGGGCACCCTCATTGGTATCCCTGTAACCCTGGTGAGAAGGAATAACAGCAATGGAGCACATTCCATGTATATGACAACCCCAGAATCCAGCAGAGTAACTACAGCTTTCACCTCCATCAGTTGACAAAATATATTTCTCCAGTCTTCAAGTGCTGAAGAACACACACTGCCCAAGCAGGACAGATTTCCCACTTTTGGGCAAGCACAACACATAAGGAGATCACACTGCTGTGGACACAAAAGTAGGAGAAAAATACACTGAGGGAACAAGGAAGTAAAGGCCTTTCAGCACACAGGTTGTGACCACACATTCACCTTGCTGTGGAACACCAACACAGCTGCCTGATGTTATGGGTGTGGGCAACTCCAAGGACTCCCCTGTGCTCTGAAGGGAGACTAAACAGAGGAGAAACAGAACTTCAGATACATTTTAAGAGATCCTGCTCTGATCATTTTTCCAGAATACAAGTTTACATCATACAAGCAGGTGACTATTAAGCATATATATATGTAACAAACAAAGTGGCCAGCTATGGCATTCACTCATTCAAGGAAATCTTGCAGTGCTCACCAGCTACAGGGGGAAAACTACCCAAAAGTAATGCATTCTCAAATAAAAAAGGCAGAAGGACCACCTTTTGCACAGACTTGGCATTAGGACAAACAAGACAAGGAGTGGCAGCAGAAAGACACAGAGTAAAGGAAAACATCAAGCAGTGGAGGTTCAGAAAAGATATCTCACAAAAAACTGGCAACTGGGCACACACATAAAACACAAGAAGTTTAGTATCTAGAAATTCAGGACAAGCTTGCTGATATCATTTTAAGGCCCACCTCAAAAGATGACCATCTGCAATATCATCAGCCCAGCAATATTCAGTCATGCTGCTCTTCTGGTCACTGGGCAAGGATGTAGAATTTGTATCAAACTGGAAAGAAGAGAAATAGAAGAATGGGTTAAAGTTGTTACAATCCTCATGCACAGAAACAGCAGAAACTCAGTTTCACTCTGGAAAGAATGTAAAATGCTGCCAGTGATCCACTCCCATTTAAAATTGCATAAATCATGAAATAAAAAATTATGAAATAATTAGATTCTGTCTCCACAAGATTAAGGATGAAGTTAAACTAGTTCAGATAATTTGAGACTAGGAAGCAGGAATATCTTCCCCATCCACCCATGAGACAGGACATAGGGAAAATGTCCTATTCCCTATCCCAAGTTGCCATGGCAAAACTTTAAAAAAAAAATTGAAAAGAAGTCATAATGTGTCAGAGCAGAAGAGCCTACTGGCCAATACAGCCAACGACCTAGAGGAAAGCAGTTTAAAACCGTAGCCCTTCCAACAGAATAAATTACTGCAGAAATCCTTAACATCAAGCTAAAAACAAGGATGCAGCCAGCATAATTCAAGCGAGCAAATAAAAACAGCTTAAGCATCCAACACTGCAGTGAGCAGGCAACACAAAGCAAAAGATAGAGACAAGCAAAGCCCCCTTCCCAGAGCAGTGTGCTCATGTTTCCCATGGTTTACCTCAGACAGCCGGGCCGTCTTAACTGCAGCCAGAAGATTTTCAAATTCTTTCAAGATATGATTCTGTTGAGGTAATAAAAGAGAGAGAAACCATAAAGACATTAAATTAAAACATCTATTCCAACAAGGATATTGGTAGCTAGAGTAAGAAACTGGGGAGAACACAGCTTGCAAAAAAAAAAAAAAAAGGCAAATGAATAGTGACCTTTTTCATATGCTGAGAATTTGGACCATCAGCAACAGGTCACTCCTCCCAAGGCTGAGATGCTAGTGCTGCATGCCTTGCCTACCACACCTCCCCATGCCAGCCACGTTGCTAGTGCCATACCTGGAAGGAGAGCCTGTGCCGCAGCACAGCGTTCTGGAAGTGGCACTGCTCCACCTCCTTCTGTAAGATGGCCTTCTCCCGGGTGAGCCGCTGTGCATTGGCTTTCTCTGCATTGAGGGCCAGAGCCAATGCTTTATTGTTGTGCTTCAGGGACACTTTAATAGTAGAAGAGTTGTCTGTAAGAGATAGAGAGATATCACACAGAATCAGCATCCAAAGTTTCATCCATGCCTCTTCCCTCATCATACTTCTTCTTCCTCTTTCCAGAACAGCTTTCCTTAGATTTGTATCTCTACAACTCAACAGCCCACACACAAAACCAGCAGTATAATTCCTTCCAGCAACAGAAGTCTCCAGAGAAGAGCAGGAACAAAATTTCCATAACCTGCAACACTTCAGACACCCTCTTCATCCTCAGTTGGTCATGCTCAGGTAGCAAGCTACTGCTTCAATTCTTAATGCATGATAGCATGGTTCAGCTGCTGAGATTGAAAAGATATGCTTCTGGCTTTGAATATGCCACCTGAGTCCTCATCTCTATCCAAAAAGTGGGAGAAAAACCTATTTTCCTCTAGCTGTCCTTGAGCAGATCTAGAGCCATGTTTCCCAACTTCAAAACAATTAAATAAGAGTAATAGAAATATCTAATTTTTTCAAGGTAGTCCAAATTATCTCATGTGCTATCTTTGCATTATTTCCCCCATAAAAACAAGTCACAGTTGGGCTAGCTTCTGCACAGGATTGCATATACACTAAAATACTTTCCCACACCTCTTGCTTTTGCTATTTGGACCCTGAAGACTCTGTTTCCCAAACACAGATGTCTGATGTCATCTGAGATGCTGTTGAGCAGCCTTTGACGCCCCAAGCTGCTGTTCCAAAGGTTCTGTGTTAAACCTGCCAGTCACAGATACTTCAGACACCCTCGGACACCTTGAGTGACACTTAACACTCATTTGCAGGGCATTGAATTCACTAGAAACCCCTCGGGCAGAGAAGCTGCCAAGACTGTCGACCACCGCCACGGCCAAAGGCACAGTTCCAAGCTGATGTAGCTGCCAGCCCCTGCACGCGCTGCAACGCAAAATACACTCACTAATGATTTTCGTTTTGATTTTGGATACAAGCGAGGCATTCAACTTCGCAGTCCTCAAGGCACCCTTTTTCTTCTCCCGCATCCTCTCTCTTACGCCGCTCAGGCTGAAGAAGGACGTGTCGGCGGCCTTCAAAGATGCCATGGCTGTAGAGAGTGACACCGAGCAGGGTTAGCACCCGTATTCCCCGCCAGCAAGTCCTTGGCGGCCAAGACTCGTACAACCCCCGAGCAGCGGCCCCGCGGCCCCTCGTGGCCCGAGTAGCTCTGGGCACAGCCCCGGTGCCCCCCGCACGGATGCCCGGCTCACCTGCAGACGGGGCGGCTGCCTCTCGCCGCGGAAAGGGCCGGAAGGGAGGGCGCAAGAAGGAAGAGGAAGCCCTGCCCGCCAAGCGACTTTTGAAAGCGAGCGGGCCGGAGGGCAGCCCGCCCCTCGCCCCGCCCCGCGAGATGGCGGCGGGAGGGGCGTATTCGGCCCGCAGTGGGCGCTCTGTCCGCCCTCACGGCGAAGGCGGAACCCGAAACTCGCCTTCCCGGCCGCCGCGGCCCCGCTGCCCTTCGGGCTGGAAGCGCCGAACTTTGAGGCGCTGCTACTGCCACGTGCCCCTGCCCCACGGAGCTACACCGCTCCTGGAATGCCTCAGAAAAGCCCGACGGTTGTTTTGAAGGGCGAATCTCACCCAAAAAATGAGGGTTGGTTCATGCAGCTTTCACCTGACAGTCACGTTTTACTGTCTATTAAAATGATTTTTTTTCTTATGTAATTTTCACTTCAGCCCAAGTTAATGCACTGTTTTCCAGACACCCTTGAATTTGCCCTCAAGAAGCTGACATTATATATGCTGGTGTGATGACGTTAAATATTTTAAGGAAATGACACATAAGGAAAAAGTAGCCAAATAATTGGAAAAACAATGATTTAGAGTGGAGGTGCAATTTATACCAGAGGTGCCAAGAGAATAAGGCCGATGAAAACGTGTCTACCTATTGTTCCCAAACGGGTTCCTTTAACCCATGTGCTATCGGTTGGTCCCCAGATAGAGTCGAGGTATTTGATTTATTTACATTTCTGCGCAGAAAGAAATGCTGGGGGTCAAATCCACAAAGCCAGCATGATGACTATCAAAACTTTTCACTATTTATACATTTTAGTAAACAAAGACATTAATGTTCATTGGCTACAAGTTCCATAGTTCTCTTATTCATCAGTATTCTATCTTTTATTAGTTAAATGATTCCCTCACTTCTTATACTAATTAGTCCATATACTCTTCTTTTGAATTGGTGGGTTTCATGAGACAACGGTCACAATGTGCCCCTGCCAGAATTATCTTTTACCTAGTTGGGCCTGATTTCAGCACAGTTGATGAATTGGCTTTGTTAGGTTCTTCCTTATCTTGGGAGTTCTGCCAAATGTCCTTGTGGCTCATAAATTCTCCAAACTTCTTTAATGTCCCGCTGGAGCTGAGATCATTGAAGCATGTCAAGGCCTAAGCCTTAGCAAGGCAATTCTACCAACAAATAATTTATCTTTCTAACACCTGGACATCACACCTTCTGCCACAGGCACATGAATGATAGCCCTTTGCAAGAGTCCTGAATCCTACTCCTATTTTATGTGATATTTGTTAATACATTAGCTGATAAGCATTAAATAATGCCAATTATTAAATAAATTTGTTCACTCCAACTTAATTAAGTAGCAGATTGACCAAACACCCTCTATACCTGCCCTGAAATCAGACCTGCAGTGACACAATTCTGCAGGGACAATTCTGCAGGGACACACAGCTGCTTGTAGCTTTATTTCTTGCTCTGGGGAAATACACTGCTGTTAAATATGCTGTGGTATGGGAAAAAGACGTAAGTATCCTCTAAGACATATTCTATGCTGCGTGTGTGACAAATTCTACACTTGAGGGGTCTAAACTTGCTTTACTAAATTTATTAAGCACACTGGTCAGCAAATTAAATTAACAGTTGGCATTTTAAAACCAGAGACTCTCTATTTAAATAGTGGAACTCTTTGCCAGAAAACATTGCAGATGTCAATTACTCAAAAATTCAATTTTACTTACTCAAAAAGCGACTGGATAAGTTTGTGAAAGTTAAAAACAAGTGAGGGCTATTGACAACCAATGCAACACTTTTTGCTGAAGAAGGTCCTAAACTGCAGAACAGAGAAATACACTGAGAAAGTTTGATGTCTGCCAGGACATTTCCTCCATCTCTTCCCCAGGCATCCACTAGTGGCTGCTATTTTATCTTTACCTAGGAAGAGGACAAACACAGTGGCTTCCCCTGCCTTGCAATGATGCAGAAGCATTTCTTGCATCTGGGGAAATGGCAGGGGTCAGTTCATCTGAGGGCTAGGGACCAGACTCATTTCAGGAAAGTCCCTTTCTTCATCAGGGTATCACCCTCGCTACATAACAGGAGAGGGGCTGGGTTAGTAGCACTTGGGGTCAGCCCTGGCATGACTATGTTTACTTTGTGAAGGTCACTTTTCCCTCTCATCTGGCCACAGCAGCAGATAAGCCCTGTGTAAGTGTAACTGGTGGAAAGTTACACCTGGCAAGAAGTAGATCTGTGTTTCTCAGAGCAAGAAGCAGCAGCTCTACTGGAGACATGGTTGTCATGATGCCTGCCAGGTGAAGGTCCTCAGAAATCAAATCTAGCTTGGAATGAAAGGTGGGAAGTGCTAAGCTTGGTGCTCCTTTTGCCGTAGAATAAATGAGAATGGAAAATGAAATAACGAATAGAAAGCATAACACAAATTCTACAAATACCAAGTAGACATCTTCCTGGAAAACATCTATGTCTCATGATAATACATTTCCTTTTATGTTTTTTTGGGCCGTCACAAAGAGGGGCAACATTATGTTCATTCTCATAAAATCATTCCTATTTTTTACTAAGAAGTCAGTTAATAACAGAAAAATTACATTTCCAAGAAGAGGGATGGCTCATTCCATTCAAAGCTACAGCCTACAAACTCTCCTAATCTACAAAATCCAATAGCTTCTCACTGACTTGCTAGTCATCATAATACATTGGCTACCATCAGCAATCCCGTGCAAGATGTGCCCTGCCTCCATTGGAAGGACGACAGTGGGGCTTAGAACATCATGTTGGGATTTTCTGACTGTTAGAATTTCTCTCGATACTGTAAGCAAAAACATAACATAGATGAAAGAACAAGTAGCAGCATCCTTGCTATATGCCATAAACGCTGGAAATGGAATTGTAGATGAGCTCTTGGCAGGTATCAGGTCTAGCCTTTCACCATTCCATTTGGTGGAATGCTGAAACAGTAGAAGCTGGTATTTTCTTTTACAAGGAATTAGATCTGTCAGAAAACCTGGTGAATAGTCTCTGCCTCCCTTGTTAGCGAGTCTTTTATGTTTCCAACTAGCCACTCAGCAGTGTAACTCAATGCCTAGAAGTGTATTAGGATCATCTAGCTTGAAACTGATAACCCAAGCTGAAGGTGCAGGTTTAACCTCTTCTTTGTGATGGTTTTGGTTTGTTGTTTGGGGTTTTTTTCTTTCAGTTTCTCTCAGGTCAGCAGCATTGTTTCTAAGCAACATTGTTTCTAAGCAGCAGTCCTGTATGAAGCCATAGCCTAATTTCCCTGGCACACAAAGGAAGACAGAGGCAAGAAAGGAACAACAACATCAAGAGGGAAATCCTCCTCATAAATACCTGAAGTCAGAGAGGCTCCAAACCCAGATCCTGAGGCCTATTGCAAAAGTTGACACAGGTAGTGCATGATTTCTTGTGTACATGTATGAGAGGTAGAATAGGGGAACAATATTCAGCAACAGAGAGTTTGTGTATTATGGAGCAAAGGAGTGGAGCACGTGCTCCACGTGCATGTTACAGTATATTGGTAGGCCAGGTGCTGGCTTATCTCTTTGCTGTTAGTTCATCTTGCAGCCTGTCCTCTTCCCTGTTTCTACCACATAGATCTGGTTAACAGACACACAGTGGGGAGAGCAAGCCTTGTACTAAGAAACCTGTAAGCGGCAGCAGGTCAATAGCTTGGATTATATGAGAGATATACATCACTACCTTGGGGATGCAGGCAGCCTGCAAGCTGATGCTCAAGATTGATGCTTAATCTAAATGGGTTCGTCCTGCCCATTTCCCATTACCAAACTCTTTACCGTCACTCTCAGTACTGTTCATGTTGTCTTCTTTCTTGACTAAATTTTTGTCAGTTTCTATTTTAATCCTACCTTGGAAATTATTTTGGCTAGATTTTTGTAGGGGGTCTCCAAGTGTCACGTTCCCTTTATCTGTTTTTGAGATTTGTTCACTGGCAGAGACACTTGGTTCTCTCCTAGATCCCACTGAGCTTATGCTACAATGACAACTAGAATATGGAAAGAAAACACCTGAAGAAAAAGATTGAAAAACTCCTGTAAGTAATAACTGCCCACAACTGCTTTCACTGCACTTGAGATTGGCTTGTTTTCATTGCAAAGGGTTGTATGACTAGGTGGATGACAACTCTCAAACCTTTGTCTTCTCTTGCTGGAGAGTGTAAATAGACTTCTTTTGACAATTTCTTGCATGCAGTCTGCAGTGTAAGCCCTGACTGCACATGTGACAATAGAATCATAACAGCCCAGAACTTGCTCAGTGGAGCAACCAGAGAGGTGCAGAATTCCCCCCTTGCAATGCATCCAGGGCAGCTGCTGTCTGTAAGGGGTCTCCTAGTTCATGCTGCAGTGTCTCATGCTCGTCAATGCAGGATTGCCCAGCAGACAACTCCTCGGGGATGTAAGCAATGTCCCCTCTATTCCACACAAATCCTGTGCCCATCTTCTCTAGGAATGCTGGCATGGATCTCTAGTACTTCATCTGAGGAAAGATTGCAGAATCAGGCCTCCTTTGAATGAGAAGAACAAGCACCAGTGAAGCATCTCTTTCATTCTCTGTACAGTGAAACTCTTCTGTGAGTCCCCAGACTTTAAATAATGGTTTCATATTTCTTCTTCCTATTTTGGAGCCTTTGGAGAAGACAGCAGTGTGGTTTGAAGGAAGCTAAGATTAGCAGAGATGCAAAAAACTAACAGCTTTCATACTTGGGAACTATCTGTGAGAAATCCTGCAGCAGACTCCTAGCCCTGAATCATAGTGAATTTAGCCTTGGTCTTGCAGTATCTTTAAAGTCCTCTATTACATTTCCTATGCACTGGTTTGCTTAGAACCAGCTGTAATTTAGACTTATTTCCTTGCTTTAAGGGGAGATTATGTTGGCATCAGACTACGAGAAAAAGAATTTGATCCAAGAGGACAAAGGCCACCCACCTTTCTAGATGACATGGTAATCACCACAATTCCTACTTCCTATCCTCTTTAACTGCGGGGCTCCTGAGAATTCTGAAGGATGGCTATTTGGTACAGCTAAGTAACCTATCCCTACAATGATAAATAGCAGCCCATTACTGAAATGAGTACCTAAACTGGCTGTGAATAGCACCTGGGTATAATGTATCCAAGATAATTCAAGATTTTGTTGATTTTTTTAGCAAGAAAAAGCTATTCACAGAAGACATTTGATAAAGTTAAGTCAACTAACCAAAGATTATTCTTCACAAGCCAAGTCTGTTGGTGCATAACAAAACAGAAAGTCTTCCTGGATGTATTTTAAACCTCTGAAACCTCATCAAGTGTCTTACAACAAGTGAGGTACCCAGTTGGTTGAGGCAATACTGGGCACAGCTCAGGTTTCCCTGCATTACCCGGGTCTTTCTGTCTTCCCTCAGTCAAGCAATTCCAGTCAAACAAAACAAATAGGATTCTTCTGTCTTTCCAGGTCCATTACAACTTAGCCCTCAGTGTTGCTTTACTGTGGCTTAGTGACTTGGATGCTCCAATTGCACTGACAAGAGAGAAAATGTGAGTATTGAAAAGCTGAGGTCCTGCTATTTGGGTTACACCAGTGTGAAAATGAGGTAAAAGCAGCAGTGAATCGACCCCAGGACTACTTTTTGCATTTATAACATGAGAATAATAATCTTTTTGTTCAAAACACCATGCAGGAGCTTTGCAGCTCGCAACAAATACACATATCCCAACCGAACTGAGAGAGAAGCTATGATATTATCTTCATACGCTGGAATATTAATGGTAAGAGCACAAGAAAGATGGCAGTATCTTTTATTCTATGGCATATAGAATAGAATAGAACAGAACAGAACAGAATAGAATAGAATAGAATAGAATAGAAAACTCCCTGTACCCCAGATGTCGTTGTTCATCAAAAGCACAGTATACAGACAGTGCAAATATTACAATTCCATTCCATTTGTATCAAGTAGCCATTAAGTTTTGCACAGTCTTAGAAAACAAAGTAGTCACTTTCAGTAGGTGTGTATATGTTACTTAACTTGTTTCACCCAAGTACAAAATGGCAAGCAAGTTTCAGGATCAGATCTCAATAGATTTGTACCAGCAGTATGAAACAATACCAGAAGTTCATATGAAAGCTGTTTCAGAGATCAAAGGAAGGGGATATGAGCTGGATTTCATTCCTTTACTTGAAAGAATACTACTGCTGAAAGCTGAATCTCTCTTTTACCTGTTTTTTTACCTTTTACCTTTTACTGCTCACAGAACAGCATTCCTGTAGAAGAGATCTTTGAGATTTACAGCATGAGGCCCTCAGCAACACACTGGCAGAGGTCTGCAAATGTGAGTGATTTGGGGTTTTTTCAGCATCTGTAAAGGAAGTGATCCTATAATATCTGTGCCTTTCAAAAAAAATGCTACATTTCAAGCTGAAGTCATTTGCCCCTTTTGCCCCATTAGTAATAGCAAACAAGCTCCAGCCCTCTCTTAGGACAGAGCAAAAAGCTGAATTATTCACCACCTCCTTCTCTTACAGTGTGCCAGGGAGAGGCAAGAAAAGGGCAGCCCAGTTACTCACATCCACACTAAGATGTAACACAGCTCCTGCACCTTTGTCATAATGCTTTACAGAGGAGCATTCCCGCCAGAGTGCTGTTATTACCACTAGTGAGGAGTAGGGGAAGAGGCTATGCAATTCTGAGATACAGCCTGGCATGTGTTCAGAGCAACTTTCTCTAGCAATATATCTTTAGTCATATAATTACCCTTTAAAAAACAGGAAAGGTATTTATGGATGAGGAGGTACAGAGACACAGCAACACGATCAATATGATCAAAGCGATGTCCAATTTATTATTTAAATCAGTTAACTTTTATACAGTTTAGTTTGCTCAGGGTACATGCTCACAAGAAGGTGATTGGATAGCTCAGTCTGTGCACGCTTCTCATGCTCTCAGTTTTTTGGATCTGAGGCTCTGTCCATGCGGCCTAAGATCATACTTGGCATGCAAAGCCTCTTGTCCCGAGATCTGCAGGTGTTTCATTATCTCCAGTTTCTCAAGGTTTTTCTTACTGTAAACATATTATGTTCTCAAACCTTAGACACACAGCTGACAAGTATAAAAATCACATATTTTCACACAGTCTATAAGTATAAACAATACACACTTGTCACTTCCATGGCAAGCAAGGCCTACAGAGTGCAGGAAAAATTGTTCAGAGAAATCTCTCTGTTCCAGTGACAGGTATTATAATCTTTAATTCATGACTCAAGTCACAGGAAAGTATTCCATATGACCCAGCTCCATAATAAAAAAGCATTTGTACTGGAATATATAGATTTTCCTTTCAGTAACACAGACTTTGTTGATGTTTCCCAAGCAACTATTAAAAGTTGATGTGGACTTGTAGTCAGACTATAACAGCTGATTCACATGTAATTCACAGTGCATTTTATTTTATTTTTTTTACCTCAGTCATGCTTAGCTGTAATATTACTGACAGACTGCCACCCGGTGTCCAGAAAGGGCAGAGCTACACCAGCTCACAGTTACATGCAACAGAACAGCCTTGACTGTAACCTCTCTTAGTTTAATTCTTCCATGTCAAGCACTAGATATGTCACTAGATGCCACGTAAGGGCATTTCACAATATGTTATTTAGAAGGAGGGATCTTCTTCTCTGCTCCTGGGACAAGTGGGTGGATCAGCTGTCTCTCCTTTTGCTGTGAATATTACACTGTATATTTTTACTGTCTTGCTTCTTATGGACAGGAATACTTTTCTCTAGGAACTTCCAACCCAGGATATTTTTAGAAATCTCTATTTTGAGTGCTCATCATACACTGCAGAGGAGTGATATTTTCTTGAAAGGTTTCCAGCTACTCATGCTGTTTCCCATGGTGGGGTGTTTGAGTTTTTGCTTGAGTTTTGGTGGTTTTTTTCTTTGGGAGGAGGGGAGGTTATTAGTGGTATTTTTAGCTTTGATTTACATTCTAATGTTATGCAAGCAGAGACAAAGAAAGACATCTCATGTTTCTGTGCACTTGCCTAGATTCTGTCCCTCATGGACTCAGAGACACTTCCTTAATGGTCACAAGGTAGCAAAGTTTAAAAATTTTCTAAAGAGAAAGATAAGCCATTGTTATCAGGATTTCCAGTTTCTGTTTCAGCCAACACCACTGCTTCATTTTACTCATGGTCTTAAGATCATTCCCACCCTAAGAGAAAGGAACAAAAATGCTTTGCTGAGCTGGGAAGCTAAGGATACTTTATTTTGCAAAGCCTTGATTCATTTTAGAGGTTAAACCTACTGTTTTAAACTAACAGTAACTCTTGGAGCTCAACTTATGCTTCCTTAAGAGTCCTAGACTCAAAGAGATGGAATACAGCCCATCTGAAAATTCAGTTTCTGTGGGTATTTCCCACTGAAGTAAAATGGTGGAGATTCCTGTTACCCCTCATCACTTTTGAAGCTTTGGCTTGAATCTCCTTGAAAATCAAGCTCTAGCCTTACCAAGATGTATAGGTACTTAGGGAGCCTAAGCCACATCCTAGTGACATTTAGGATGGAGGTTATAAATGGTGTTCATTTATCCATCAGGACTGCTGAAGCAGTTACCTTAGTTTCTGCTGACCAGAAGAGTATGTCCATTGTCTTAGCACATAGTTTCTGCAGGTACACTAATTTATGAATTGTTGTCTTTTCAGGACCATTGGATTCAACCTTTCAGGTTCTCCCTGCATCCATTTGCCATGCTGACTGCCCCTGAAGCTGCAGAGCATGCCTGGAAGCAAAGTGAGCACATTTCACCCCAACTCCTACAAGGCCAGGGCAGGGGAACAGAGAGCAGCACCAGGCCCAGCAGAGCCACCAAGTTACAGCCTGCTGAGCTCCAACAGCTGCACATGGAAAGGATAGTGAAAACCTTGGTCTGTGCATCTTCTATTGTTGGGGCATGGGGGATGTTTTCTCATTGTAGCCTAGAAATGGCATCTAGCTCAGGCTCCTGAGGTTCACGACAATTGCAAAAGGTGCATTTTGCTCAGGTTGAGGTAAAAAATATGATTACATGTTTCTAGTAGAATCAGCCTTCATGTCTGTCAATCACTTGTTTGTTTTTAAGCTTGGATTAATACTAGAACTTTTGCAAAGGTCAGTTATGCTACTGGCCAGAAAGAGCCACCTACAACTTGCCTGTTTCTTCTCCAAGTGCAGCAAAAATGAGAATAACTGCAGGAGCATTAGAGAATTTGAAGCTGGAACCCCTTACCTCCAATCATGAGCTGACTGCAAGTGAGCCCATGCAGTAGGTCTGTAAACCAGCCTGGTGACACTCTGTAAGCCCAAGATGATACGAGGCTCTTTCTTTCTCCCAAGGCATCAAGTACCAGACAGCAACGGCACATCAAAAGCAAGGATCTTGTTCAGCAAGGAGAGCTAAAAAGGACCACAAGCAACTAGACCCACTGACCAGAGGAAAGCAACATGTTGACAAAGTAGGTCTGAAGAATTCACACAAGCCAGTAAAATAGTGTTTGCAACACTATCACTGGATGTCACAGAGTGGCACTTCAGGACACTTGGAGCCCACAAAGCCTTTCGAGGCTGCCCTTCTCAGTTCTCTTTAGCATGAGATGTTTCATAGCAGCACTAGTTTATAAAATAATGTCAATTCTAAATTGGACTGCAAGCTATTAACAGGAGGTGTCACTCGTGAGCTGGAAAGTCAATTCCAGTAATATTCAATATATACATGGAAAGCACTCTCCTGGCTAATATCCCTGAAAAACATATTCACATTTAGGTTTAAAAAAACCAAGCCTATTGTTACAAAAATTAACAAAAACCTAACTCCATAAAGAACCCAGTAATGTCAGATTAGCCCAGCATGTTCATGACTTAGGTTCTGCCTTTCTATTTGACCTTGATTTGCTAAAGCCTGTTGTTTGCTGCAGCTCCACTGAGCAGCAGAGCTAAGAAAACATTCCAGCAGCAGGGCTGGATTTGATGAACCAGAGTAAGGGTGCTCCTCCACAGCCCTGAGTTCAACATGCATCACATGTCACACAGCAGGAGGGAAGCTGATCTGCCATGCAGTCCCCATCTCTCCCGATGGATTCAGCCCTGCCTGCTGTGCTTGCGCTTATTAACATTTGCATCCTGCAGGGAGCTACAGAAGCAAAACAAGGAATCTCTCCAAGGAAGCCTGGAACAGATTCAAAAGTGAGGAATGCAAAGGAAGCAAAGACATAACAAAACACCTAGACTTCACATACCTCACTTAGTTGTAGGTGAGCTAACTGATGTCTTCTATCTTAGCTTTGGTAATACATTTGCAACTTCTGTTTTGGTTGATTGGTTTGTTTGGTTGTTTGTTTTTAAATCTTAGCAGTCATTCCTTCCTTCCCATCCATCATATCTTACATCCAAGACATTCACTCCTCTTCCCTTAGCCAATTCTCTCCTGCTCCCCTGCCAGCGTGTTGGGAGCTTACATTTTCCCAGTGCATCCCTACTGATTCTCAATGCACCATGCTACTTTTACAGAGGCAAAGAGAGGATGCAGCACTTCAGGGGCAGGGAATACATACTTCCCCTTCTCCACAGTGCTTTGCAACTCCCACACATGATCCAGTGTTGGGCAGGAATGAGCGTCCCTGCACGTGACGCGTGGGTTGTGCCTCTCAGGATGATCACAATTTCTTCAGCTCTCCCCTCTAACCATCCTGCTTTCTTGTTTCAGCAAAGGGATCAGCTAAAGAAAAAGCCTCTCCCTGCAGTGCCAGTGTGGCACTGAAGTCTGTCTTCCAATCCCCATTTGTAGGTCTCTGATGATTTGCCTCTGTTATGTCCATGCTGTGTTGCCAAAGAACACTCCCCATTTCCTAGATGGGCTGTCAACTTTCATCCTTGTACTGACTCTACCTTGGAATATAAGCTGGACATGGTTCTCCTTCCACATCCCTCTCTTCCTCTGTCACAAAGCTTGAGCACACAATATGGAGTGTTTGTATTAGACTCCTTCTACCTAATTCCATAGAAATTTCAGGGCTTGAACTATTTGCTGCTGAGAGGTGTGTTTAACATTAACTGCAGGGTAGAGAGACTTCATTAGGGCTCTTTACATATAAAAATGAAGATTCCCAGATACTTGTAGCCAGGGGATAGGCAGTTATCCAAAGTAGGGTCACATATTGTACAGCTGCAGTAACCCATCTCTTGGAGATGGTCCTGTACTCTAACACAAACTATCTGCTAAAGAAAAAACCAATAAACATTTGTGAAGCAAAACCATTTTTCTCCTTTTCTCCTTTCTGCTGGCTCTGAGTCACTGAGCCTATTTATGGAGATGCCAAAAGACAGCACTACACAAGAAAGCCTGGGAATGGTTAAACTTAATCAGGGATTAAAGGGTCTTTCAGAAGTCCTCATGGACTCAAAGCTTGCTTTCAGCTTACCAGGTTCACAGTGTTTTGTTTTTTTAATATATCACAAATTTCCTGTTAAAACCACCTTTCAATTCTGGTTTGTCCCTGGGGGAAGCCCTCACTACAGCTTGATACATTTAGAAATTACAGATTAACCAGTGACTCTTTGTGCTGATATAGATGGGGCTTCTTAGCCTTACCATGCATCCCCACACTTTCCTTTCAAGCCATGTAAGCCCCAATTCTAGGCCTTAAGGAGTCAGGTGAGAGGGCCAGGGGGAACCTGAGGTAAACAGCAACATCACCTTCTATATTACACAGGAACTCTTTAAGAATTTCTGCAGCATCAGCTGTTTTGGCCTGGTTAGTTCACTCTGCAGGAAGGGAGACTGCTGGAACACACTATCCAATCCTATTTAGTAGTTCCTACCTCTCCTCTATTGTCTGTGTTCACTGCTGAGATAGGTCTACCCTGTCATATTCAGCTCTTGCTTTTTCTTGGAGCTCAGAGCATCCATCAGCTTCTGAGCAGAGGCTTCTGTTCTTGCAAACAAATTCCATAGAACAGTAGGCCAGTGACAGGACCTGAGCAAATTTCCTCCCAATTCAAACAGCACCAGTCTGACCCCTGGAAAGCCAAAACAGAGAGAAATTGTCCTTTGAAATGAGGTCACTACAAGAGGGGAGGAGGGGATATTGCTGCTGAGCACATGAGAGAACAATAGTAAGGGGGTGGTTCAGATTAAACAGCTAGACAGAGAGATTAACATCTCATGACTGTTTTTTGTTCACTGACCTGTAATAAAATAAACAGTAAGACTTTAACAAATAGGTGATTAGCCTTGTTATTCCAGTGCTGTCTTTGCTATGGAGTACTGCCATGGCCTTCACTTTTCTTCGAATAATACTTCCTGGTTTTATAGGTGGGACTGGTGGAGTTAAGAGGAATAAGCAGCAGAAATCTTACTATGCTAATAAGCAGAAAAACAGTGTTTTATTTTCAGAGTGCAAGTCCCTGCCCCTTCGCTACTCCCTCTTCTGTTGGCTGGCTGGTATCTGATTGTCAGCACACAAAACTCAAGCCCAGAAGATCAGACGGTTTGCTGCTCACATGTTCAGACAGCGAGAATTAGGGAGTTGAAAGGTGCTTGTAGATGTGGGCACTGTGGGATTGATGAATGATAGCCTTCTGCCACCTTGACTAAAAATTCCTCCTTTCCTGAGCTTTATTGTCTCCTGAATAATCAAGGTCTTGCTGCAACTGACCAATTAGTCAGGACAACTTCAAACTCTTTTCTCAGCTACGCAGAAAGCGATGGACATAGTTCAGAGCTCAGATGCAATGCTGAGTCATGAATTTGTTCTACAGGACCAGAAGAGACATCTGATCATATGTGCACAGTTAGCACCAGTTGTCACATGCATATGTGCCTACCATTGCACTGCAATACTGTCCACAGTGAGAAAAGTAAGAGGCCATTCCTGATCTGCTCTTTTGAAATACCTGAAATCACAGTACTGAGGCAAGTGGGGAACTCAGCAGGGCATTATCCACTTTTGCTTTGGCAGTGTAGGAGCTGCCTATTGTACCCCAGAGGTCAACTTCAGCAGCAGAACTCATGGTGGCAGCTTGGTGTTGCAATTCCTAGCCCAGTTTATGACACTGAAATCAGATGGTTCCACTCTAACACTCTTGACTGTGAACAGCACAGCAGCTGAGGCACAGACATAGTCTGCCAGACCAGAGATGCTGACTTCTTCAACTGCTCCACACGAATTAGTGAGTCAGAGTCTTTAGACTCCAGAGTTACTAGAGCACTGCCCATGCAAGCAAGCCCAAATTTCCCCCTCATTTCTGCTGCTACAGTAATCCTGACTTCAGACACGTCACTACTGATTCTCTAGCTAGTCCTGAAAATTCTCACTCATTATGGTGAAGAGCTTTTTCCTAGCCAAAATGTCATGTGGAAACATCTAGCATTCATTGCAGAATGGCAAAATATCTGTTTTTTCCAACAGATTGGTTTATCTGTGGGACAAAAATTTAACCAATCTCTTTTTAAAAGCATTAGTTTGTCAGGTTGGGAGGTCAAGTGCACAGGACTGTTTATCTTTAAGAGGCAGCCAGGAGCAACAGCAAATAAAAGAGTGAAATCTATGAGAAAATCAGATATATTTCATCCCTGTAAAACACTGTAAAAGATGCTGGCCTCACAAGGGGAGTCATGGTTGAAAGATCTAAGAATGGTTAGAGGTGCTTAAAAAAGAAACTAGCTCAGGCTGGCTCCAAAAGAGAGTTTGTTTGCAGCAAAGCAGAGTCAGAGGGAACACCAACTGCCAAATCCTGCACTGTCACCAGGTCACCTGCTGTTATGGAAGTGATCTGCCAGGTACTTGCACACAGGTGTTTCCACTGCCAGTGCTAAACACATAGTCCATTTAAGTGAAGAAAGTGCATGATGTGGTTCCCAAAGGCATCAAGGGCTAGACTTCATGGCCTTTCATGGGGATTTGCCAGCAGACAAATATCAAGCCCTGAACAGTGTACTTACAGTAGTACCAGCAATACATAAAGTCAAATACAACAGTCAACCAAACATCATGACAAGGAAATCCAGCAGAATGAAGGCATGTGGTCTGAGGTAACACAGAAAGTCTGGGAGAACAGGGTTGAATATACTAAACAGGACAGGAGGGTATCTAACCTGTTTGGAAATGGTGAGTGCACATTAGCTCCTGTCATTTAATATGGATACAGTTAAAAACAAAATCATTTAAGTGGTTTGTGATGGAAGGCTGTGAAGGTGCAGGTTTGATATGCCCCCATCCATTTCCCCAGAATATACCCTTCTCTTTCTCTTTCCTTTCTTGCTCAGCACTGAAAGCCCATTTCTTTGGCCTGAAATCTTGTAAATGGAACTGTGCTCCACTAAGTCTCCCAAACTTTACCCTGCCCTCCCTCCTTACAGCCACAAACACTCATTTGTTCCACTGGAGGTGGAGACCATGTAGTTGAAAACAGAAGTCTTTAAATAAATTAGACCTACAAAGGTGTTTAGCTGCATGCCAAGTTCCTGATGAATCATGTTGACAAGTTCTTCACATGCTTGAATGAGTTCCCCCAAATACATAAGATTGTAAATCTGGTTTTGGAGTGCAGTAGTTTTGATCTGAAGCCTCACCTACTGCTGATATAAGACATTTGTATAACCAGCTTTGCATATTACATGAAGTAGTTTGTTTTTTAAGAGTCTAAGATTTAGGTGCAAGAAAATGATAATCAGAAGAGAACAAGTTAAGGTTTGTTCCAGCCCTCACCAAGCAAGAAGAAAACAGATGAAAAGTTCCAAAACAGAGAAATATAGTTTTCTGGAACCTACTAGCTGTCCTTTAGTATTAAAGCACTCCTCTTCAGCCTTAAAAAACAATTTTTCTGGGTTCCAGATAGAGAGCAACTTGAGTTTAATGCCATTTCCTCCCTTTGAATTTTTAAACAGGCTTTCAAAGAGAAAAAACTGAACCAACTGACCCAAACTGATTTACAATGTTAGCCAGTAATTCAGATAAGTGACAAACATCCAGTAAGAACCATTTGATTTCAATATTTATAGTCTTCAGGGATACAGCAGTTAATCACACACCAGGAAGAGGCTGAAAGTTTTAATTGCTATTTCCTCCTAACATGCCTATGTTAAAATCTGTACACAGTACCAGGGATTAGTAGGCAAAGGGTAACAACACCACATGAGAATGAAACTTTTCCTGTCTCCAGAGTAAGGCATGTGACAAAGTATTGAAACTGAAGCAAAATTCACCTGCTCTCAAAAAAGCAAAGATTGGGACAAACTTAGGCAAGAGGTAACAGACCCACACCAGAAACTGCTCAGGTCTGGTGAGTTCAATAGCTTTCAGGCAAAGGAGGTTCTGTAAAGAACCATTCTTACACACATATATATGCTTGTACCTATCCCACATTGGGTCAGGTGATGCTATCATGCAACAGCTGATAGCAGCTGAAAGTGTAGTCTACCCCATAGTTACATAGTAATTCACTTGCACACAGCATCAGCAAATGCAGCCCAAACCCCAGAAAAAATAAGTCTCCCATAGTAAATGTAATAAATGCCATAACTACAAAAAAGACAAAACATGAGATCTCTCCACAGGTTAGAATAGTCTCTTCTGTGTTACTCTTTGCAGATACTGCATTAGGACTATGCTGTACAAAAGCAACCACAATGTCTGTGTCTGCACACAGCTCTCAACTTTCATCTCAGCAAACCATCAGAAATGGGAGAGATAAGTGGAAACCCCAGTATGTCAGTACCCTGCTCTGACACAGACACCAGGACAGACTATAAGTCTTTGCAAATGTTTCTATTGCAGATCATTTTCTTTATAAAGAGAAGAGCTTCTGGGGCCACTGCTATGAATGTAGCAGTGACCACCTTGACCTGCAGCCCTCTGTGAAAGAAAGCAATTCTATCCAGGTGAAAAAAGGCAGCTGGATAATTTACAAGAGCCCCAGTTACTCAGGACATGAGTACTTTTTGAAAAGGGAGGCAATTCTCACTTCCAGAAGTGGTTCAGTCTCTGCAACTCCATCGGGTCTTGCCATGTAACGCTACAAGTGAGTTCTGCTTGGCAGAGGATTACAGTTTAAGAAACTGGGTATAGTTTATCCTTTAAGAATACAGTTACAGTCTCTTCAAGCAACTCAAGAGTCAGGAAAAGTTCAGTAAGGCAATGCAAAGTTTCATTGGACACGAAGAAAATAATCTGTTTAATCAGTGCTATTTCCAGGGCCTTTTCATAACTTGAAGATGCAAAAAAAGGTCATGTCACTATTCCTAGGTAGAGAATATCTTCACATCACCTAGGGAAGGGCCAGCAGGGCCAGCTGACATAAACTTCTGCTGTGGGCTGATGTATGCAACTTGCTTATGTCCACACTATCTTATGATTCAGTGATACCAGAATGTGTTAAATCAGCTCACTGATATTTGTCCCAGGCTGTGTCCATCTCCTTGAGATCTCCTCCTTCAATGTCTTAGGTGGCTCTTGGGTGTTGTATGAAATGCATAACTTCAGGGCAGACAGTATTTACTGAAACCTAGGGAATACAGAGGTACCCTTGATTGCAGTGCAGTAAATGCCAAAAACTGTCTCTTTGCAGAGGCCAGCTGACTTGCATTGAGTTATTGCTCACATACTAAGTAAATAGTGAATGCATTCCAAAATTCTGGTTCAAACAAATCTTTCTTCAGTACTACAAACAAATTCAAGTTTTACAGTCCCAAGGGAAATATTATTTCTTTCACATTTTAAGGGGAGAGGGGGGATACTTTTAAAAAATATTCACAGTTAGCCAGCTGTTCCATGGTACATGATAAGTTAAATAACTGTTAAAGGTCTAACTGTATATTGCTAACCCTGGAGGAGGTGTTGGGAAAGGTCTGATTCTTTCATCTAAGTTTTCTCTAGTTTTACAAACTTTGATTTAGCAATAGATTCCAGTTTTATACTTACCAGAGATAACAATATGCAATTGGACCTTTAACAGTTATTTAAATTATCATGTACTGTGGAACAGAAAATACATCCCATTAATAGTTATATCCAGTAAATTACTGATTGAGGAAGAAAAGGACAGAAGTGTGCAGAGGAACTCACAACAAGGTGAACACTGTATTTGACATCAAATTCTTCATGCAAACAAGCTGCTCCACCAATGCTACCACCAAT